TGGACTCCGGAGTAGATGCATTCTTATAAGCCCTCCTACCAATATAAACAAGTTGCAAAAACAAGGTCAAAAAACTTCTATAAATCTCTTGATTTTTTTTCCATTTTTGTGCGTAATTTTTATGTTTGCTTATGTTTACTTTATGGGATTTTTTTTTTGTGTCACTTTTTTCTTAACTTATTCCTGCTGCATAATACTCGCAGCTTATTTAGTCTTTTCCACAATTTAAGCGTATTTTCTCTAAGTTTGTATCATTTATTCCGAAAAATCCCGCATTTTTTTTCATATATTATTCAAACTTGTTTACTTTTTGAATTCCTGATCAGCAATCGATAGATGGACTACCGCAGTCTCCTTGTTCCCCCAGCCTCTTACCATCACAAGAGACTCTTACAAGCCATGGTAAAACAGAATCTAATGAAATCAGCGGTAATGATGGCCTAACCCCTCAAGGCGGAGCGCGCCACACCGTTCGCTTTCTCCGGACTCCTCAGAGTTATTCCGGGCTCAGTTTTAGTAGTGCTAGTGCCAGCAACAGTGTCACTAACAGCGGTACTAGTAGTGAGACCGAAACTAGCAGTCGTAACATCTACCAAAACAGCCATGCAACAAGTTGCTTATGTACATGCACAAATGACATGTACAGTGGCAAGTGCAGTATCAGCAGCAGTAACAACAGTGTTAACGGTGATTTGGGAAGCGATAGAAGCAATAATGTCATTTTAGCTGGATCCGACGGGTCTGCTGCAGCTCCAAAACTCGATGATATGGTTTGCACGTTTGGAGCTGCTCGGCGGGTTTTTGTAGAACAACACTGGTACTATTGTTATACTTGCCGGATGCTTGACTCTCAAGGCGTTTGTTCCACATGTGCGCGAGTCTGCCATGCTGGGCACGACATAGTTTATGCAAAGAGTGGAAACTTCTTCTGTGATTGTGCCAATGGGTTCGTACCTTCTACGACTTCCTTAACAACTTTTGGGCAAGCCTCTATTGGTCTACCGACTGATCGAATTACTGTTCCTCCTAATTGTCAGGCTTTGCATCGAAGAGTTTTGGCTACTACCTCGACTAAAAAGCGCTTACCCTTTGCTCGATCAACTCACTCCTCCGTTGGATTTCGAAATTACAGGCGCCAATTCCAACTTGATTCCGCCATTTACACTCCTTGGCATTCTTGTAAGTTGTGAATTTGTTTGTTTTCTACATCCATGCAATATAAAGATGAATTTAATAGTTTTTTATACATTGTTACGGAATTCAAATACTTATCTATCCTATTTTTTAGACACTTCTATTACTTTTACGTTCATCATCCTGATGCACATAGTATTGTAAAACTATAGAATTTTTCTAATTTCTTCTATACCCATTAATTCTCTTTCATTTTTTCCCAAAAGCTTTCTTCCTCTATTGTCGTCCCCATATAATTTTTATTTATCAATATAAGTTTTTCATTACTGGCCAGTGCTAGAATAGTAAAACTTTTATTCGACGCCCCCCCTTAGTTCTGTTTACTATCATTGCATATCTAGACGTATATTTTGGTATTCATTGAGATTCCATTTCAAGGATTAGTGGTTGTTATGCAACCTAACTGATATCTCTGAGGTTGAGAAAAGTATTTTATATTTTATTTTACACCTCATTAGCAAATGTCTATACCTCCTTTTTAATTACTCTTCTATTTGGCTTTAAATTGAGCATTCCTTCTGACCAACAATTCTTCTAGGGACTTTTTATCTTGCGGACTCAATATAGAGCATATTTCATTATAAATTATATTTATTGATAATTTCTATTCCTTTTATGATCACACCTTGTTACCACAATAATTGCGTGATTTTTTTCTAATAAGATCATCGATGACGGTTTCATAAGATTAAGAGATCTATTCACTCAATTAATTTATTTAGCCTGATCGGAACATTCAAAATCGCTTTTAACAAACACGCATCATCTGCAATTTCGCGTCAAAAGCCATCATCATATTAGTTCTTTGTGTCAGAACCATAGCCAAAAATATCTTCCGCTTCTACTCGTTTCTTCACATTATGGTGTTGCAGATCAATTTCGAAGTGAGCTTGGTTGGCT